TTTTTTTTCTTTTTCTATTCTTGGGTTTTTCACCTAACTGATTGCCGTATAAAAAGGTGGGATCCATTCCAACCGAATATAAAGTCTGAATGACGACGGTGAGTTATTTTAGTAGCTCCACCGATATCCACTGCTAGGCACCAATCCCATCTTCAGGCCACGAAGGCGAATTAGTAGCTGGAGCTCCCTCGGTCCGGCAGATGATCCGGACATGCCACATCCGTTGCTGCAGGATCGAGACCAAAAAACGACAGCCTGGGGTTTGAGGCGAGAACCCGATCAAAAAGTTAGCCTGCGCTCTGCAACCTCACTCACCTGCGTCGCTACAACAACCCCCGTTGATCGGTTTTCTGCTGTTATCGTTGATTTCCCTCCCCCTCTCTTGCAGATCACTGCTGTCACTTACAAGAGTTCCATCTGGGTAAGTTAATAACGGTTTTGTCATGGGTGCAATCCACCCCCATCCATCCATTCTATTGCCCACCCCCATAATGACGCATTCTTTTCTCTCTCACACCCTATCATTCTTCCCCCTCCCCTCCACCAACTCAACCCAAATCTCTTCCATTCAGACTCCCTTCCACTTGCCTCCACATACCACTCCCGAGCTTCAGCTTCACCTATGCTCAGCACACCCATCCCAGGTGCCGCATGATATCGACATCGCTAACCGTCCTATCGCAGAAGCTTACTTCGGGCGAATCGGAGCTTTCCCTTCCGACTAACTACTAGCTCGCCGGTGGCTTGTGTCCTGGTACCGTTACTTTCTTCTCCGTCGGTTCCTCATCCATAACCTCGCCAAATCCTGCACCGGACCTCTTGATTTCGCTTGTCCTACCTTCCCTCACCGCTGGAGTCGGCTACCGCGGCTATACCCTCCCAGCGATAACCTACATTGAACCCGATCCTGCTGCCACGGTAGTCCCTTCTATCCCTCTGGACGATCACTACTCCCTCTCCTGGTTTCCAAACGGCAGATCTCGCCTTCCCCTTTATATAATTTCTCATAAGCCGTTGGAACTGTACAGCAGCCAAGACGGCTGCCAGCATTCCAACGCCAAGCAGAGCCTTGGTCCCTTCATCTTTTGACGTATATCGTTCGTCAATTGTCCGCCTCTGAGCTTGGCAGACATCCAGCCCTGCAGTAATGGGTCAGTCGCATTCCAAGGGCAATTCTGGCCCTGGCGACTCTCTGCAGTCCTACCCATCCTTTTCTCGCTCTGACACGAAGGAGTCTCTTCGGTCTATTCGGGGCTCTATTCGATCTAAGATCCGTAGCAGCGATAGCCCTCGCGCATCCACTTCAGCTCTGTCCACGGGGAGCCAGACGGATAAGTCCGATGCCGGGTCGATCAAGTCAACCGGGAGTAGAAGAAGCTCCACCAACCTGACTGCTCAATCTCCTGGTGCCGATGACTCAGCTTCTCAACTCGATGCCCCGGATCCACCTCCCTCTCCCACCTTGTCGAGCAGCCTGAAACGAGGCCATAAGGATGTCGATGCGATGCAGCAAAGCGGAGAGGTTGACCACGTGTCGGACGCGCCTCCCACTGGTGCTGCTCCAACGGGATCTTCACAGAAAGTCGGCGAATCCATTCTTATCAAGCGGCAAGATCAGCTGAATCCAATCCTGGATTTCATCATGAACACACCTTTGAATGATACATCCTCGTCTCCAGGAATGGGAATGGGCGCTCTTAAGTCTATCGACCTTGATGACATGATCACACGTCTGCTGGATGCCGGTTACTCAACTAAGGTCACCAAGACTGTCTGTCTCAAGAATGCAGAGATCACCGCCATCTGTAGTGCGGCTCGGGAGCTATTCCTCAGTCAGCCTGCACTTTTAGAGCTGTCGGCCCCTGTCAAGATTGTGGGCGACGTTCACGGCCAATACACCGACCTGATCAGATTGTTCGAAATGTGTGGCTTCCCCCCATCTTCGAATTACCTCTTTCTGGGTGACTATGTGGATCGGGGCAAGCAAAGTTTGGAGACAATTCTGCTTCTGTTGTGTTATAAGCTCAAGTATCCGGAGAACTTCTTCCTTCTGCGAGGCAATCATGAATGTGCCAACGTTACCCGTGTATACGGGTTCTACGATGAATGTAAACGGCGTTGCAACATCAAGATTTGGAAGACCTTCATCGATACGTTCAACTGCTTGCCGATCGCTTCTATTGTAGCTGGCAAAATTTTCTGTGTCCACGGCGGACTTTCACCAAGTCTCTCCCATATGGACGATATCCGGGGGATCGCGCGTCCGACTGACGTTCCCGACTACGGGCTGCTTAATGACCTTCTTTGGAGTGATCCGGCGGACATGGAGGAGGATTGGGAGCCTAATGAGCGCGGCGTAAGTTACTGCTTTGGTAAGAAAGTGATCATGAATTTCCTGCAACGGCATGACTTCGACTTGGTATGCCGAGCCCACATGGTAGTGGAGGACGGTTATGAGTTCTACCAGGATCGCATTCTAGTTACAGTATTTTCTGCCCCTAACGTGAGTGTTTCCCTAGTCGCTTCTATTGCATTGTAGAAGCGTGAAGCGAACCCCTGGTATTTGCTAACGGCCCTTTGCAGTACTGTGGAGAGTTTGATAACTGGGGAGCAATCATGTCTGTCTCGGACGAACTCCTGTGCAGTTTCGAGTTGTTGAAACCGTTGGATTCCACCGCACTGAAGAATCATATCAAGAAGGGGCGGAATAAGCGGAATAGCATGCTCAACAGTCCTGTAAGTTCTCCCTTACTTGATTTCATTTTCGCCAAGGAAACCCATTTCTGCGCTGTGCAACAACGCCGAGAGATTTGTGTTTAAAAATCCCCTCTTTGGATGTGTTTTCGGTTCCAGTGCTAATTGCCGCAGCCTGCAATTGTATCAGCCCAAAGTTATTAGACCTCCTGGTGATTCGTTGCCAAGAAGTCGGCATGCACCATATGTCACTACCGAAGCGATCTGGGCCTGGGCTCAGTTGACGTTAAGCTCACCCCTTTCAGTCACGGCGTAGTCCGTCTGAATTGATTGGGCAAACACATCATGAAAATCGTTCCTTTGCCGGACTCCCGTCGATATGTGCATCCCTCGGGTGCTGGCCTTCTGGGACTCCTTATTTGCAACGCAGCAATGCCGGCTCCCAACCAAACGCCGCTTGGTTTGCCATTGGCAAACTGAGCGGATCAAGACCCATCCTCCATCATTACTAGGGCGTTTGATGCGATTTGCTCGCCCCATGAGGCACTCACCCGAATTGACTTCGGCGCAAGTCCTACGCCGATTTAGCGAGCTATGCTCTGACTTCGCTATGTATACGGTCCCGGTTATTTTTCTACGCATATAATGAATAGACAAGGTGTGCGGGGAATCTGATTTTCTGGCACCTGTGAAAACCCATTTGAGAGCTAAAGGCGATAGGAGTCTGTGTATTTTGACCAGCTTTTCTTCTCGATAATTCCATGTCGATGAGACATGGTTTGACGTGTCATGATATCTTTTTGGTTTCCCCTTATCTTCTCTTGTTTTGTCGCAGATTCATATGATGCTGGTTCCCTTTATTGTTGCTTCTATCCATATTGCTTCGGACATGGGATGGTCTCTATAGCTCATTTAGATTTTCCCGAAGGACTATTATTATCCAAAGGCTTCTGTACACATTTCACTATCCATGCACATGTCCTTACAAAGAAGACTGCTGAGTTCAACTGTACCAGAATTCCAAGAATAGTGATCTTTGTGTGAACATACCGTACGCTAAGAAATTTGAACTACTAGTGCTTGTTAATCAGCATTGGCCTGGGCTTTGCTTCCCCAAAATTCGCGTCCGTATCTCTTCTTCTATACTAGTGTCCCGCGGAAGGTTTCCTTCACTTAAGTCCTCAGAAATGGGCCCGATACTGCTCATAGCAAACTGAGAATCCTAGGTTCAAGCCATGTCAATGACGAGAATTGTAGATGTAATGCATATCCGGAATCATACATGCACGTAGTCGAACACAGATAAACCCCAATAAAGGAAAAGATGAATACTTACATACATGAAATACATACCCGTCAAGGTAGTACCGGGTAGTATTTCTGGTTTCTTGGACTTTCGAGGAGGAAAGCCCCCGGCGGGGAGTTTCAGGGCTGGGATAGCGTTTGGCTGGAAGATGAAGGGCTTTGGCCTTGTATTTGTCGTTATCTAGGGTGCATTGTTAGTCAAATTGTGTATCTGCTTGGCTATCTAGATTGGCTATCGTTGAGGGAGATGTTCATGGGTTGCTTGTATGTGATGTCCCAGTTGACGGTGGGGAGCTGGATCTGTAGTCCACACATGCGCTGGTAGTTGCAATGGTGGGTTTGGTTTACCTTTAGTGACGTTATTTTTATTCTGTACGACCCGTAGCCAGCGGACGCTCGGAGGAAATCGCCGTCCGATTGGAGACTTGTTAACCGTTCACCCCCTGGTCCATCGATCAGGAAGGGGATTTTGACAGAGTCGTCCCTGCTATCTGTTGAGGGACAAGCTTGGAGACGCTTTACGGGGGAATCATCTGTGTAGAAGAAGTCTATCCCCACGATTGCTGCGTTGGACACTGTAACTGAGATACGGGTTAGGTACTTAAGGAGGTTGCCCCGTCTTCCACCAAACATGACATGCACAAGTGGACGGTAGTCAAGGAGAGGGATGTTTCGACCGGTGAATACATCGTCGTGGAGATGGTAGGACGAGGGAGGGATCCCTGGATACCAAAGTCCTGTAGTTCGCAGGGGTAGGTGTTCACCTCTGGTATCGTCAGGGAAGAGCGGCTGAAGCTCGGTGGGAACAGCTAAAGACACCATTTTGAAGCCCTAGATCATTTCTGTCAGCAATGCCTATCTTTTAAGAAAATAAGAGTGAGCTCACATCGAAGGAACATTTCAAAGCGTGGATTGCCGTCTTCGTACACAGCCGGACTGTCTGCGGCAGGCCTTCTGACAAGCCCACCCAGTTGGATATCTCTCCCTGTCCGGTCACAACACGGAGTGCCATGACACCTCTAGGGCTGACAGCGGCAATGAACCCATTCAAGTCAAAGCATTCGCTTTTCAGCTCCACGTGTTTCTCCTTACATGGAAGGACATAGCCCAGTCTAAGCTCCTCATTGTTTGTAAGTACGAGTCGAAGACCCGAGACATATTTCTTATCACTTAGTTCTCGAAAGGAAACCCCAATTGATCTTATCGAAGAGGCGATTGAGATGATTTGCTCATATATCACCCTACATTTCATTTGGTAAGGGGAGTCTCCGTTCGACCGTACGGAAAAGTCTCCTCCAACTGGTCTCCATGCCGGCACAGGCTCCTTTGGCCATAGTTCAAGCTCCCTGGTCATCCCTTCACTGACCAACGGTTGATCAAGAACTAGATCTGCTATATTCTTCAAGTAACACCAGATCCGCTTTCGATTCTTCAACTCATTAGATGAATCTGGTGTCACTGCTGTATCCTCGAAGAAAGCCCTCCAATTCCTGCAGCGCAGTGCGTGAGCTCCACTATATAGTGAATCCCTAGCCTCGAAGCAATACCCACGCTCTTGATGGCAAGCAAACCTTGAAGCCCAAAATGACTGCGTGAGCGGCAATGCAGCGAACGACCTTGATGCTAAACGCACGTCAGCAACACTGCGAGATGGTAGAAGCATCTGGATTTGCTCCAGGATTTCTTGGGGAAGCTTTTGAAAACAATCAGCGGTGGTTATCGAAACGGATGATATCAAACTGGTCATTGTTGTATTCTCTCGTCTATCCTGAGAACCAACAAGCGCTTGCTGCACCTCCAATACGTCTAGTGGATCTGACGTGGCCAGCGTCAAGGGAGAACTCTTGTCCCATAGGAACCGTCTTATATAGCCCGCAATATATACGTCTTCCCATGGATAGCCCCCAACGGGACGTTGGTCCATGAGCCCACCGTAGTTATGTCCCCAATCCAACCATCCTTCTGTGTGCGCTGGACATGAGAGGCAAATATCATACAACCGCTGGATAGGAACGGCATGGGGGTGAAGCATGCCCCGTAGTAGTTCCCAGCACGATTCATGGAAAAGAAACCCAGGTTGCGGATGGAGTGTGTCACCTATCAGCGGGGGAAATGAGTCCTCCTCTGTCCAAACAAAGTTATCATCCCATCGCTGTTCTGCAGAAGAAGGTGCAGCACAGTTGTAAAGGATCTCTGGAGGGACATAGCTGCCCACTCCTGTAACGAAAGGCTTCCCATCTAACTGAGAATTGCCATCACATCTAACTATATAAATGTCAGTTCACAAATACCAATCGACAGAGCCACCGTATTGAGGGGGGAGAACGGCTCAGCACAGACTTGCACGAAAGTTTCTTTTCCAAGAGACTTTGCGGTCACGATATGTAATCTTTGCACCACAGATGATGCAATGCGGGCTGCTGTTGAACATAGTTTTCAGACTGATAACTTGAAGAGAACTTAGGAGCCAAGGCAATTCCTCAAAGAATACAAATTCCACAGCTGAGGAGCTTTATTGGATAGAAGTACAGTGTACCACTCTAAACGGGGGACAACTTCGGGAAGGGCATAAGGACTGTATATATGGTGATACAATACGAGGCATCAACGTTTTAACAGGGCAAACTAATACTATTCCCGCCAACTCTAAAGAGTATGACGTGGCCGAATACGACGCTGACGAAGAAGCAGGAGAAGATCCGAGATGGAGAGAGCAGGAGAGAGCTACAAGATGGTTGACTGATGCCAAGTCACCTGCTAGCCGCGTGGCGCCTGAGGCGACCGTCAACATCCTCGTTGCCTACACGCCGATAAAGCAAGTAATCGATCAGGCATCACCGTTGTATGAATAACTTTTGTATGTATGAGTCTCTAAAAAAAGCACATCCTGCTAGCCGAACAAGTAGAAATGGATATTCCTGTACAAAAGCGCCAGACATCGGGGCCCTATCAACTGGGAGGTGGGTTTCCAGCGGACAGTATTCAAAGGCGAGAAAAGAAAAACGTATAATGATGAATCGCTTGCCATGCCGACCCGCACATGATACTCCAATGTCACATCTTCACTCGGGTCTAATGCACTGTACCTAAGGGTGACTTCATCACTCATAGTCCCTAACATAGCGACCCGGAAGCTCAACGTCCCACATGGGCCGCTCCACAACTGCGACTTCTAAGTTACCACTATCTTCTTGTTCCTGTGATTCTTCATCTGTTGCCTGAGAGTTCAAGGGTACAATTCCCAGGATATCACGGTACTTGTATGTGTGCCACCAACGACGTGCCGAATGTGAGTTATCCGCGGCCTGCACCAGCTGTTTCTGAGAGGGCGTGTCGCCATTGACAGCGGTCTTGTTAAGCTGCTTCTTGGGGGTGCTGACGCTACCTTCGAGGTTTCCTCTTCGTAGGCGAGCTAGGTTAGAATCATGGCTGGCTGTATAAGCTTCATCGTGATCGTATGCTTCATCATCTTCATCTGCCCCACGAGGACACTCTTTCTCAAGAGAGATCAATTCAGCCTTCGACTCGTCGCTTCCTACGATCTTGCGAATCTTGGAACCAGGGAAAACGTCAGACTGTGCTAATGGAATCTTGTCACCGGCACCGGTATTCGGCTTCTTTCTGTCATTCTCCTCATCATCCAGAAGTCCACGCTTGCGCTTTTGGGATGAAGACTTCTTCGCAACCTGCATAGAATTTTGTCCATCATCATGAGTGTCTGCCGAAGCACTCAGCTCTTCTGGAGACGGAAAATCTTGGTTCAAGTCGAACATCCACAGCCAAGAGGTACCGTAGAGCCAGAGACGTTCACGGGCCTCGTTCAAATCCCAAACACAGCCCATCGCGCGATCTTTTACACCTCTAAACTCTTCGGGTAAGAAGGCTTTGGGGTTTCTCCTTGACCAGTCCGACAATTTTCCATCAAGAGCATCAACTTCCACCAGTTGGTGCTCACTCGTAAGGGCCATCAACCGGCTTTCAACCTTAGAATCCTGACCCGCATCGTCGGTCAATAACTTCTTTCCGGCCGAGTTCAGAGGACGGAAGGACAACAGTAGTACGCCGGACTTGAGACGAGGAATTGGCGATTCAGCGGCTGTGAGAGTCCAACGCTCACCCTCCACCACTGGCTGTTCATCCTCATCATCGGAATCATCATCGGAGTCTTCGGCAGCATTGGCTTTCGCCGAGGTCTTTGACTCAGCTGTCTCCAGCGACCAGGCATCCACACACCCAGAAAGATCTCCGACTGCAAAGATCTTGCTGTTTTCAGAGAACACGGCGCATCGGATGGTCTTTTCGTACTCACCCAAGGTACCATGGGAAGCCTTCTCAAAGCGAGCATGACGAGTAGCTCTGTTAAGTTTAACGAGTTGGGTTAGGACCTGGGGTTTCTCCTGAGGCGATGAAGCAGGCTTGATCCTGGCCAAGTAGGTAGCACTATTGGGACGAACGACGCAGATCCACCGACTATCGGGGGAAACGGTAACGACTCGAGCTCCGTCATTGGCGAGTGCAGATGGGATATCAAGCTTTTGTATGCGGAGGGTTCCTTTCTCATCACCTTTGCGCCGCCGAACAGAAAACACTTTGACGCCGGATATCGTAGCAACGACTAAGATCTTTCCGTCGGAAGATAGCATAGCTGAGGTGATATTCTCTTCGCCCTATCATGTGAACAGTCCATTAGAAATGAACTTCATAAGCGCCGATACTAGGTGATCTTCACATACCTGGATCAGGACCTTTCCAACCAACCGGTGCCTTTGTCCATCAAGGTTGTCTTGCAACGATGTGGGGCCGCGGAACAGGCGCCAGATGCTAATCTCTCTATCCCAGAAGCTCATGACCAGTCGAGATGAAGGCGAAGACGCAAGCTGTGGTATTTGAGGCAGACTCGATAGCTTTCTGTGGTGCTCTTTTCCGAACTCACGTAAAGGTAAGACAACCGGGGTGGCGTCAGGTCCTGATTCTTGTCAGCCAACTTTGCCAATGCTTGAAATATAAGATCAACTCTCACCTCCAGATACAACAACACTAATGTCCCTCGTCTCATAGACAGCAAAGGTCTTCACGTCGTGGGTATGGTACCGTCGGTGCATCACTTCCACCCATCGGCCTTTCTTATCGCCCTTCTCCCCAGCTTTCTTTTTGTAGACGACTGTTCTTTGGTCCGCACCTCCACTAACAACTGTGTCTCCATTGGCACTCACAGCGATGTCCAAAGTATCAGCCACGTGACAATTGAGTCGTTGGATAAGCGAGTAATTCTTGCCGTCCCAGAAACGAACTTCACCAGCAGAGTCGCCAGATACAATAGTGCCGTCGGGAAGGCACTTCACAGACCAGACCAGCAATTCCTTCGTACCACCCGTCGGTCCCTTGCCCAAAGAAATTGTTCGCAGGAGTTGACCATTCCGAATATCAAACAGACGGATTGAGCTGTCCGCATAGCCGGCCACGATAGTGTTACGATCTTGGAAGGTGACACTAAGCACCCTGGCTCTCTTTGTAGAAGGTCGCATAAGACGAAGGAACCTGACATCATTGTCGGCCGTAGACAAGATCACGATAGATCCATCCGCGCATCCCGCGGCGAGGTGTTGTCCGGTGTACTCTCCTTCCGCTGGAGGCAGCCACTTGCCATCCTTGCCCCGTTTCGTAGGCTGCCATCTTGGCTGAGCCGCTATGCACCAAATCTCACCATAATTCCCACTTGAGTGACGCAGGGGACGGCCTTGTTCGATATCCCATTCAGTTACCGCAGTCGAATATCCGATACTGAACAAGCGCAGTTTTCCGGGGATCTTTGAACCATCGGGACCAGACTCAGGCGGATCGAGTGTCCAGGTAAGTCCTTCTATGCTTCTATCCTTTCCTCCACGGAGAACTGTCTCCTGAAACCATGCGCCGCGCAGTGGATTCCAAATTTCTATATCACCATTTGCGCGACCAACCGCGAGTCGGAGGGTAGGGACACCACGTCCCGCAAGTTCTGCAGACGGAGGGTGGGAGAATGCGAGCGCATTGATCGCTTGAGGGTTATAAGAAACGAAGCGGCAGCGGTGAATGTCCATTATGATTAACGGCGTAATGCGGTAAAATCGAGCTTAAAAGTCGACGAAGCTTGTGCTTGAATGGAATGAAAAAAAAAATGAAGTAGATCCTCGTTGGGAAAGAAAAAAAAGACCTACCCCGGCTCTCAACCTGTAGAGCGACCGCTATACAATCATTCCGTTACTGATAAAGAAAAAGTCAAAGATATTTCGAAGGTGTCACTGTTGTGGTTGTGACCTTGATGTTGCTCTCTCTCTGTCTTTTCTTTTTTTTTTTGATACAATTTTTAGCGCCGCGGAGGTTCCACCAAACGTGCTCGATCACGTGATTATCCCATTGTTGCTTGTAGAGCATCAAGCAAGAAACTTAGACAAAGCACGAGGCTACTTTCTTTACCTAATCTCTCATTGTTCTTCTTTACAGATTGAGATTGCAACTATTCGCAAAAACATCATTTCATCATTTAGCAAAAAGGAAAACCAATTGATGTACCATCATGAAATGCACATAGTATGTACTGTAAATTAATATACTAGTATTTCAAATCTCTTTCAGGTTCCGACAATAGTTTTGACCGATACAAGAGAATATCTAACAGATGAGGAGCGATTGTATGTCATCAACACAAAAAAAGCAAATATCAAACTGATCTGATGATCAAAGCCCAGTCTGCACTCTGGCGTAATGCTCCTCCGGAGTACAACTAGAGATCGCATCAAGGGCCTTCCAACGAGTCAATATCCGGGAATGATCATAGAGATATTCTTTGTTTCAGCTGAAGGAAGCACCGAGACAACTTGCGCCTAGCGTGGTGGGACACCATTTACCAAGGATACTCACCTTGGCGAACTCCCAAAATGTAGTATGGCCAACTCCCTGCTCTAGTTTCAAATTATAATACCAAGCAGTGTTGACAGGGAAAATAGGCACTGCAAAGCCTATCATTGTTACTCCAGTGCTTGTGGTACACTTTCGTGGTGGGTCAAAGCACCATATGACTAGGTTCTTGAAGCACGCAGGTAGTCAAGGGATGCATGTCCCCTATCATTTGAAGCATATAAAACGCGTAGCGCGAAGTCCTGTATGTAAGCGACATACGCATGCAAAGCTGTAGGTGACCTTGAATTCCAAATTAGCGTGGTGCAAGCCGGTCCAAGAGAGCGTATCAGCAAAAGTGAATCTTCTCGCACTTCACCTAAAGAGTTATCAGTTGTAGACAGCCTCACATGCGCTGTATTTGATAGGTCCATATAGGTCCATTTAATATAGACGGACTGCCACGTCAGAGAAGCCCCGGTTATAGTTCCGGCCTTGCATGCTACCAGCAGACGGCTAGCGATGCAGTCTCCGTTATTCGAATGATGTGATAGGGCGCAATGATCCAGGTTTGCTGGGGTACCACACCACAGAAAAGGGTCAATTCCACGGGATTTAGGGTCGTAGAGACTCCAAGAAGGTGGACTTCAATTGTCTTCTGGTTAAAAGAGGGGGTGCCTCTGTATGGCTAGGCAACCTTATTTGTCGGCATCAAGAACGAATGTTCAGAAACCAGAGATTGTTAGCAAGTGGGGAAGGATTCTCTGAATTTCTCCGATGGATTCACCAGGCTCAGCTGAATGGGGTGGCCCCAAGATGGGCGATATGCAGTTTAATTCGATCTCGGGCTGTGCGCTTGCGGGGGTGTTGTTTGATAGGCACGATCCATGCCGTGAACGGGAATCGAACTGAGCCGCACACATTCAGACGACGCCACTTTCAAACCAGTCGAAGACAATCCCCGGGAGATAAGCATTCATGATTCAGATCATCGGTTGATTTGCCATAATTGCTCAAAAATGGTTCAAAGAGATCAATTTCAATGATATCCTGGCTGGCTATTTTTGTTTCGACCCCCCAAGATGATGGGATCCATGGCTCAATGAAACTCTAAGAGATACCATACCTCGATTGGAAATATGAGGGCATACTGAATTGCAGATCTGTTTCCGATAAGCTGTGTTGGAGTACTTCCTCTCTTTACCTTCTTTCCGCGGTGGCGTCAACTACGCGACCATTGCCTCATGGTTAATGCCCAAGTTTCAGCGCCGTGCATTCATGGCACGGTAACTATGCGCGAGTTCTACTTGATAGCATCAAAAGCGCGACTTAGCGTTGACTGTGCAGCAGTGGGTGCGCTGTGTTTACATCTAACTGACGCTTTCTTGCGGCCATTGCATGTTTGCATGGTGGCATAGGTTTGCTATGCGACACATTTGAAGAACTGGCCCTCGCTGGTCCCTGGTAAAAAATGGTTCCCAACAATCCCCAAGTCGTGCGACGACTTCGTAGAGTTCCGCTCGTATACGCTTTTAAAGTTCAGCCACTAGACGATGTAGGATGGCACCAATGGCAAGTGGCGAGAGGCTGATGTTGAATGCCTCAATTTATGGGAATTGGCACTAAGTACTCGACAGATTGAAGAAGGCAGTGGCCTTATGCCTTGTAAGGACACCTCCAACTGATAGGAATTCCAAATATGGTCAAAGGTCGAATCCCATGGTAGGGCGTAAGAGTGGAAGACGGTCGGATCTTGGGTTCCGTTAATCAATGAGAACAACGCATGTGCGTACTGTGTGCAGCCATCAGGATTATCTTTAGTAATAATGGTTATGATGTCTGACTCGATTCAGGAGGTGGCTGATGTATTGGTCCAGGCGTGTCTGCCGAAATTAGCATTTTGATATGCTGGGTGGCACATATCCAATTGCAGGCGAGGTCCATATATTATTCCCCGGGAACTTGCAAGGAATCCAACATTTGGACAAGAAAAGTGGAAAAACCAGCCATTAGCTCGATGAACCATCGCTGGACCAATTAACCCCGGGGTTCCATCCTGGTTGTAAGGCACGAACGGACGCGGGAAGAAAGCTTCTAGACTAGGATTACTGGAGAGCATCAAGGCAGGGAAAGGACACGCCGGTTTGGCAATAAGCGCGCTGGCTTTGCTCAGGCGACCATCGAATCAGCGCGCATAGAGGGCCTCTGAAGTCCACGCCAAGCATCGCGGCGAGATTACGCTTTATGTCATCGCGACCCCCTTAACTTCGGGGGAGAATGGTCCCGCGCGACCCTGGTCAAGGGCTTGGATAAACAGTAGGTAAGGAAACGCGGCTTGTCTGGCGATATCAATAGCGTGTCTGTTAGATCCCGCCAAACGGTTTGGTGAAGGACAAAAGTTCGACGTCTTTCGATGAAGGTGTCGGACGGAAAGAAAAGGGGACATTCTGGGGTCAACCATTGAAATGAAGAGATTAGTTACCTAGAATAGAAATGACTGGGAACCTAATTTCGCATCGATGATCGTGGCTCATAACTTCCAGGCCGGGGCACCCGAAACGTGGGACGCGAGTCAATCAATGACGCCATGGAACTGTCGAAAATGAGAGAAAATGGCCAGGACGCGCAGTATTTGTGTCTCGCACGCGACTCTTTGTTTTCTGCAAGCCTGTGACAAATGTGAAGCAACTGACTTACTGAATACCTATAGATTTGCTGTAAATAGCACTCTTATACGACCAAGTGTAGATTTCTTTTTCGGCAACTTATCATTGGACGAAACGTCGAGCGACAGCTGAATAATCCTCTAATTATTCTTCCAATTTTCCATTTTCTTTTTCTTTTTTTTTTTTGTAGAGCTTTGGGGTTAAATGTGGAGTCGTTTATTTACACTACAATCGGACCCATCGTAGATTTCACGCTAAGCCTTTTCTCCTCTAGCACCTTGGCCTTGTATGTATGTATGTACAAACCCTTACTCTGTATCGTTCTCGGCTTTCCGAACCGGCATACAGTACAGCGTTAGGTACCTGAGTACGCCATACAAGAGGATTTTGGTTAACTTGACATACAACGCCTCTATATGCCGTCAGAACGTAGCCAAAAAAGAAGCGAAAAAAGTATGAACCATGGTTGAGGCTCTCCGCTGCCCCAACTGTGAAAAAATAGCCTTACCACAAACGGTCATATTGTCTTGCAGGTTCTGACTTTTCGCGTTTCTGCTTAGTAGTCGTTATCAATCAGCAGGCCCTTCATTCGCTGTCGAGTATATTAAAGGCTCACACCCTGCATGGGTTTCCCACTTTGTGAGAAACGATTACCATGCGATATGTTGGATGTAAATGCCTCAATTGCTGAAGTGCGTCGGCTATTATAGGGCACACTACCGTATAGTCGAAGTGTCCTTCGGAACGGGAGCAATATTGATACATGGCTGCATGCGTTATGACACGGAGATTGGAGGTTAAAGTAATAGTTCGATCACTTGATCAACTACGGCTATGCGGCTTATACGAGCAGAGTGGCAATTGCATGGATTCGCTTTGTTTCGACCAAAGGCTTGCCGCATGATTCTTGGTGGTGGCACAAGTGTGTTTCGTCCACCACCATAAAAAGAATGCTGACTTAAGAACTGTCAGAAGAGACCAAAGTGGATCCACGTAGTACCACTGTGATTTTGCAAATAATAATGGTATCTACGCTCGGTAGGACCATGACTGGAGATAATAAAAGGGAACTAAAATGAAACGACAAGGATAAGAGAGACAAAAGAAAAGAAAAATCGGGGAACCTTCTGCATTTGCCAAATCTACATATACTCTCGATGCACACAGCCAAGGTGTACAATAGTAGATACATCAAAGGATGTGCAGCCATGGGCGTATAGAATAATTATTTGCAGAGTATTGAACATCTCTCGACTCATCCAATGCTAGGATATGGATCAGATCAGCGACCAGAGATCAATCGTGGGCTATTTTGGACCAATATGCGACGGGAATCTGATACATGGACCAATTCTATGAAGTTCTTCAGGTTTTCCAGAACACCGCTTGTTGACAGGTTTTTTCTTACCAGCTTTCGCCCTACCAGGCCCACATCATCCCATATTCCCATACCGACATATCCAAATTCGCTTAGTATGAGAATCGCAGCCGCTACTTCCGGCTACCGCCGTTTTGTGCGTACTGTATGTACAAATCTG